TATATGGGAATGTCATTACTCATCATAAAATAACCATATAGCAAAACTTCCCAGTCTGATTGCAAAATTGCTTGGGCTGATTGTGTTTATTGGTCGGCTGTCGAGCCCTTTTTCGGGTTTAGGGTATCGGGTCGGCAACTCGACCCTAAACCCTAACCCCTAAAACCCTAAACCCTCAACTTCAAACCCAAACCCTACACCCTGAGCCCCTCAACTCTGAACTCCTCAACCCTAAACCCCTGAACCCTAAACCCTAAACCCTTAAACCCCTAAACCAAAAAAACCCGAGGTTTCGGTTCATGTGGGTTTGTGTCTTTAGGGCCACTCTGATCCCTAAACCACGAGTTATAGGATCCTTAAGGGAGGGTGGTTCAAGGGGGGAGGGTATAAGGAATCCTGAGGGGACTGTAAGGGAACCTTAGGGAGTACTACGGAGGATTAGGGATCAATAGGCTATATACCCCCCTTGGACCCCCCTCCCTTAAGGATACTACAAGACTCGGGAGACACCAAAACCCAGTCTTCCTTACACAAGGATGCCCAGTAACCTAGGAATTAAAAGGGCTCCCTCTTTGGTATTGGGTACCTTAATAAGGAACCTAGGACTACAAAATGGGGATAAGGGTACTATCGGGCATCCTAGTAAAGTATCTGGGGTTTAGGGTCTACTTAAAGGATCATGGGACTTAGTAAGTAGGGTTATAAGTCGGTTATAATTAGGATAACCCCACTTAGGTGACTTATGACCCCAATTATAACCTACTTAGTAAGTCCCCTGATCCTCTAAGTATGGCTTAAGGCTCTGGCTTCAGGGCTTAGGCTCCAGGGTTTACAGGGAACCCCAGAAAGTTGGAATATGGTTTCATGGTAGGATACCCTATAATTTACCATAGAAGGGTTAGGATAATCATATTCCAACTTTCTGGCTTTTACCTTAGAGCGTAGAGCTTAGGGCTGAGGGCTCAGGGTTTGGGGCTCAGGGCTAATGCCTTAGGTTTAGGCTTTAGGGCTTAGGGCTTTGTCAACGTTTAGGGTGTAATGTGGGAACCTGATTAAGAAACCTTGGGCCTTGATTAGGGTTCCTTACCAGGACCCTCCTTGTACCCTCAAATAGGGGAAGATGGTCCCAAATAAGGGGCATTTAGGCTCTAATAGAGGGTAGATGGAGGGTCTAGGTATATGAATCCTGCTACATTGAGGGTTTTTGGGGCCACGGTTTCTCAATCAGGTTCCTACATTTGGGCTCAGCAGCTCCAGCTGGGCGCAAACTCCAGTCTGCTAAACCCGCAGCAGACGCCAGTGAAGCCCAATTTCTGCTTAGAGGATCATACCCTAAACCCTAAACCCCTAAACCCTAAACCCTAAACTCTAAACCCTAAACCCTAAACTCTAAACCCCTAAACCCTAAACCCTAAACCCCTAAACCCTAAACCCCTAAACCCTAAACCCCTAAACCCCTAAGCCCCTAAACCCCTAAACCGACGAAGACCCAAACCCTTGAGCTCCTAGATCCCTAGTTAAAGGATCATGGGACTTACGGTTGATGATATAAATCCTGCATTAGCCATAATAAGGAATATACCATAATTCCCATAGTTTAGGGTCCTTACGGTAATGCAGGATTTATATCATCAACCGTAGTAGGGTCTCTCAGAGGGCTCCTTAGAGGCATCACGGCTTTAGGGCTTACTTAAAGGCTCAGGGGACTTAGTAAGTAAGGTTATAAGTAGGTTATAAATAGGATAACCCCACTTAGGGGACTTATAACCCCAGTTATAACCTACTTACTAAGTCCCATGATCCTCCAAGTAGGCATCTATAAGGGTTCTATAAGGGGGAGTTTGGTTTACTCAGAGGATCAGGGGACATAGTAAGTGGGCTATAGTTGGGGTTATAATTAGGCCCCCTAAGTGGGGTTATCCGAATTATAGTAACCTACTTATAACCTTACTTACTAAATCCCCTGAGCCTTTAAGTAGGCAGAAGCGCTGCTGAGCACTGACCGCACTGTTGAATCTTTAAGTAGGCAGAAGCGCCGAGCACTGACCGTACTGTTGAATTGCTACCTCAGCCCCAAATCCTTTAAAGCCCTGAAAAACCTAACCCACATAACCCCAGACCCTCGACACTGTACAGGAGTAGCCAGAAACGAGGAACACGTTTCTCGTTGTTTAGGGTTTAGGGTTTGGTGACTACCCTCCACCTATAAGGAATCCTATAAGGGATCTAGGGAAGACGATTCAAAATTACAGCAACTCACGTAAACTGAACTGTTTCGTCTGCTACTCGTAGCGGCTGTTCAGCTGATCTCGCACAGCACTGCTGTCACCACCGTCATCAGCATCGCCCCAGGTCACGACGGAGCCATCCCCAAGGATCGCAGCAAAGGCATACTTGGTTGCTTGAATCTGCTGCACAGTCTTCAGCTGATCTCGGACGGCACTACTGGCAACGCCAAAGCCACCCCAGGTCACGACGGAGCCATCCCCGAGGATCGCAGCAAACACCAAGTCAGTTGCTTGAATCTGCTGCACATTCTTTAGCTGAACTCGGACGTCACTGCTGTCACCACCGAAGTCACGATGGCCCCAGGTCACGACAAAGCCATCACCAAGGATGGCAGCAAAGGCATTCCGAGTTGCTTGAATCTTCTGAACATCCTTCAACTGATCTCGCACAGCGCTGCTGTCACCACCAGCGGCAGCTTCGCCCCAGGTAACGACGGAGCCATCCTCCAAGATTGCAGCAAATGCATACCTGGTTGCCTGAATCTGGTGGACATTCTTCAGCTGATCTCGCACAAATTCGCTGTCACCACCGTAGCCTGCTGCGCCCCAGGTCACCACGGAGCCATCCCCAAGAATCGCAGCGAAGGCCCTATCAGTTGCTTGAATCTGCCGCACATTCTTCAGCTGATCTCGCACCGCACTGCTGTCACCACCATTGCCAGCACGGCCCCAGCACACGACGGAGCCATCCTCCTGTCGTATCGCAGCAAAGGCTGCCTTGCTTGCTTGAATTTGCTGCACATTTGTCAGCTGATATTGGACGCCGCTGCTGTCCCCACCAAAGCCAGTAAAGCCCCACGTCACGACGGAGCCATCACCACGCATAGCAGCAAAGGCCTCATCAGTTGCTTGGATCTGACGAACATTCTTCAGCTGAGCGCGCACACCAGTGCTGTTACCACCAAACCTAACATCGCCCCAGGTCACGACGGAGCCATCACCCAGGATCGCAGCAAAGGCGAACCAAGTTGCTTGAATCTGCTGCACATTCCTGAGCTGATCTTGGACGGCACTGCTGTCACCACCAGAGCTAGCACGGCCCCAGGTCACAACAGAGCCATCAGAAAGGATCGCAGCAAAGGCGAACGAAGTTGCTTGAATATGCTGAATATTCTTCAGCCGCTCTCGCAGAGCACTGCTGTCACCACCTTTGCCAGCATCGCCCCAGGTCACGACGGAGCCATCCCCCAGAATTGCAGCAAAGGCTTCCTTGCTGCCAAGTATATCGACTTTTCGAACCTGCAGCGTTAGCGGCTCCGGCTGTGCGGTCGATGCCGCATACGGCAGCCTGGCCTTCTTTAGCGACGCTCCTCCGTCAAGAACGCTTCCAGTGGAGTTCAGCAGTCGACCTTTGCCAACTCCCAGGGCTCTCTGCGCGCGCACCCTCAGCGATTCTACGGATTCGTCCTCGTGGGTCTGCAGCGACACAGTTTTACCACTTATGAGGTTCACCTCAACCGTCAGTGACATGATGAAGGCTTCTGCTTCAGATCAGCCCATGGTCAAACTGCCGAGTTCGAGGGTTTAGGGTGTAGGGTTTATTAGGGCTGAGATGTTAAGACTATTAGGGTTTAGGGTTTATAGCGTTTAGGGTTTAGAGACATCAGTTAAAACGACTTGTGGCAACTGGCAGGCTGAATGATACACGTGCCTGAATGGTTGGACTAGTGACTATAGAGCTTTTAAGGGTGTATGATACTGAATTCAAGGTATCAGTGTTTCGTTGTTTTTTGTGTTGCTGTCCTTACAATAAGGATCCTAGTATTTAGGGTACTATATCAGGGTCCCCTATTTCCGGAAAGTCCCTTGCGAAGCCAGATCCAAATCGGACACTGTGAACTGTAAACCGTGCACCTGGTTCCCTGAACTAAACTGTGATTATCTATCACTTCCGCACGGTACTTTCGCAGACCTGGGTTCACTGTAGGTTCATGGAAGGGACTTCATTGTACGATGTCCTCCGTTCGCCTTCTACAACAGGTTTCGTACCCAGAAAACAAGCCCGGAACCCTGCACAAACAACAATGGCTGGAAAGTCTGCTGAAACTGCCCTTAACCACCGAAAGCGAAAACCTACAGTCAAATGCTACACCTAAACCAGGAACCCTAAGCCGTGAACCGTATACCAATAACAATAAACAATAAACCCGAATCCTACGGTTGATGATACAAATCCTGCATTACCCATAATAAGGAATATACCGTTCTTACCATAGTTTAGGGTCCTCAGGGTAATGCAGGATTTATGTCATCAGCCTTATAGATCCCTTTAAATGAACCCTGGGACTTGTATCATCAATCGTACAACCCGAATCCCTGAAGCCGAAATCGCTCCGCGGATTCCAAAAGCCTGAAACCCCAGCGGCCCAATCGCTTGAGATCCAAGGGTAAACGGAGGGACCCTTAATAAGGATCCCTAGGTATATACCCTTCATATGGCTATTATACCTACCCATTATACAGCCCATTATAGGGTAGGGGTCCCCATTAAGGGTCCCTCCTTTTCCCCTTTGATGAGAGCCTCACTGCTAAGACATCCCACACCCTAACCCTACGATATTCTAGCTGCTAGAAATCCCTCTTAAACACGCTGCAAAACCGTTTACATTCCCCAACAACACCCCAAAAAACACATAATGACCATACACAACTATACAGAAGTCCACACACACAACCCTTGTAGAACCCTGAAAACATCTTTGGACAAGTTTCTCTGGATCTCTCCGTTGAGGGATTTGACCTGGCTTCATATTGTGATTTAAGCTATGAGCTATACTCCTTAGTTAATGGGTACTAAACTCCGTGAAAACCTTCTAAGGCCCTGAAAGGAGCCCTTCAAGGAGCCCTAACTTCCGGCTGCGTATTCTTCATTTGAGGGGCATTGGTCTCTCTGGGGCGGCTTATAGCCATCTTGGACACTGAACCCTGAAACCTTGAGGCCGAATCCCTAAACCTTAAAGACAAAAGGTTTAGGGTTTAGGGTTTAGGGTCTAGGGTTTAGGGTTTAGGCGAAATGAGCCCTGAAAGGGTTTAAAGGCTCATAAACCATATAGGGGCCCACAGTATCAGGGTATAGGCCCCCTACTTTTAACGGACATTTGGTCATTAAGGAACCCTCCTTGGTAGTTCGCTTTTGGGATTACCTTATAGGATCCTAACTATGAATCCCAGAAAGGAACCGCTATGGAGCCTATGGGTAGAACGTAAGGACACAAATTCATGTTGGAGGAGGAGACCCACTGTCTGCGGGTTCTGGCTAGAAAGCTCCGAACACACGGCAGAAAGCAAATTGCTCTGTCTCAACTTGGGCTGCTGTGGCTCCGAGCATGCCAACGTAGTTCACGGTGTAGCTGATCATGTCCAAGCGACTGGGCAGTGCTTGTGGCGTTGGAGGAGGCCAGTTCGGCACCAGGGCTCCAGCACCAGCTGCGATAGCTCCGGGCCCATACGGTGCGCCTGCGACGTTGCCAGCATTCAGACCAGTTCGCAGGTAGTACGTGATGCCATTGTACGGTGCCATGATGGCACTGCCATCACGTTGGCTCCAGCGGCATGAGACTTTAGCTGCCCTATTCCTCCAAGCCCGCCCCATTCTGCGCGAGCTGTGCCTCTACCAGACACATGTAGCAAAGCGCATCGGGCGTTGTTGAAGGAAAACGCTTCATCGGCGGTTTCAAGATGATCCCCAGATGTCCATTGGATTCTGCTGTTTTTGCCCACGTTTGGGTTAAACCTCAGGCTTTAGAGTCTAAGGTTCTTAAGAATTAAGGAAGGCTCCAGGGACTTAGTAAGACTTTAAGGTTCTTAAGGCTTCAGGGGTTTGGGTTTAGGGTTTCGGGTTTCGGGTAAGGATATAAGTAGGATAGCCCCACTTAGGGGACTGATAAACCCAATCGTAGGCTGACCATCATGTTTTGCACCAGCATGCACCAGTTTTTTTGGAACTTACAAGGTGATTCAACATACTGAACCCAAAACCCCAGATGCGCCCCAAACTATCCTGTACTGCAACCTAGATAATTACCCGCAACTCAATTACGGAACATACGGGCTCTGCGAAAGCGTGTCCGGGCCCTACTACAAAGGCATGGTTTGAAGTCAGATCTAGATAACCCTTGAACACCAAGGTCAACACGTTGGACCACGCAAAGTCGCACTGTAAGTGGCTTCTCGGAAGTAGGCTGCGTTGAGGGTGTGTCCAACATGCACTGGTATCACCCGTCGTGTTAAGGCGTTGTAGAAAAAACGAAAATATGTTTATTACCCTGAACACTTATCTAAGCTCAGCACAAAACACGCAAAGCTCGCTCCCGGGTGCCTTCTGCAGAGCCACACGCAGGGTTTCCTCGATCGCAAATGGAAGCTCAGGGGGTTATGGAAGTGATCAGAGCGCTGCCCAACTTATCCGAAACACAAATCTGGGAGATATTTGTACACCCAAGCGGGCACCTGCTACTCAAGAAAGACTATGTGGGCATTATAGGGGCCTTTGCGGCCCCGGGATGGCAAACACAAGCCAGTAATGACAAGGGAATCGGTTCAGTGTTGAGGGTTCAGGCTTTGTAAGGCTTAGGGGTTTCAGGATTTGGGTTCAGGATTTGAGGTTCGAGCTTTATAGGGCGGTATAGAGTTTAGGGTTGAAGGCTCGAGGTTTTTTTTTTTGTTTTAAGTGCAGTGGGGCCTTTTTCCGGTTTAGAGTCTAGGGCTAAGGATTCGGTTGCTCTTGAGACAGAAATGGGAGTCTCCGAAATATGAGGGGCGGGGTACCTTAATTTGGGGTCCTTATAATAAGGATCCCACTCTTTAGGGTGCTATATTAGGGTCCCCTATTTTCGGAAACCCCGAATACCTTGAATATTCGTCGCCAAGGCTGTTGGACCCAAAATTGGGCAGCTGAAAAGCAGCCATTAAAGGCAGCCGCCGATAAGTGCAGATTTCCAGGGGTCCGGGCCGATGGCGCCACGGGTACCAAAACAAGCCAGAAAATCGTGGTTTAAGTGCATTGATTCGTAACCATGGTTGCTGTGGTGTTTCCCAATGCTTTTTAGTGTCCTAGAATGAAAACAATGATTCGGGTATGGTGGCGATTTCCCAAAAGTTTCTGACAGCTGCAAGAAGTGTAAAGGGCTGCCATACAGGGCTGCCCGCTGTGTACAACGTTGGGTTTTGAGTGGAACTTGTGGCCGGGATTCCACGCTTTGTTCTTGTAGAAAATTGCCCTCATCCGGACGGCCGGGCCGACAACCAAAAAAGCAAATGGAATGATAGCTGTCGCTTCTCGTCGGTGCTTCTCCTCGAACGTCCGGTGCAGTGTCAAAGAACCAACGAAAAACCTTGGGAAAAAGCTGAAAAGCACTTGAAACGCACCTGAAAAACATTGAAACGCACCTGGCCTTTTTCAATGCTTTAAATCCCTGATATAACAGTCATAAACTCCCTGAAATAAAGAAGCTGTTTTGTCTTCGGCCTGTGGCACAGCAAAATCGTTTAGAACTGCACCTTTCGCCTTGTACACACGCTACGGGGAAGCTGGGAACGTGAAAATTCATTATTTAGCACGGGTCATATATTAGGAGCAGCTGCGAGTCGAACGACGATTGGATCCAAGCCAACACGTTCTGTGGCGAGACCGGTGCAGGCTGCCGGTGAAGGAGCTGCTCGTCGAGGTACCTGTTCCAGGGTAGCTTGAAGTTTAGTAGGGCCTGTTGAAACAAACAGTCGAGGTCAAAGTTGGCAGTTGAGGCTGAGCTTTCTTTTCCTCTCGTGAGGCCATGCTTGCGAGAGCCTAGTAAGAGTCGGCCTGCCTGGCAGCAGCAGTCCCTCGAACTGCGGTCAGCTTCACTTCTTCTGGGTCAAGTCCAGGAAAGCAGTCAAGGAGAGTCTCTGCCGGCCAGGCACGAACGACCGCTCCAGGATCTTCATCATGGTCTGGTCGTGCGGCATCGCCTTTTCGCAGACACGAAGGGCCATATTGCGAATGGCGGCGGCTGTGGCCTCCTCCGTCTCCCGCACGAACGTCTTCGGAGGCATTCTCCAGAGCGACGCATCCCTGGGGCTGAAAATGTCGAAAAACGAGACGGCGGCCGCCCACACGTCTGCAGAGCACGTCAATCGCACCTGCTGGGGCAATATGATTCAGGGACGGCTGCATTTCAGCCTACAGTACATAGGGGTCGGGGTAAGCATGAAACGGGTGCAGGCTTAGGCTGTTGAAGTTTGAGGGTGCCTGGGCATTTTCTCCCTTTTTATAACTGTCCATGCCTTCCGGTCGTCCGCCATGAGGCACTCGGGGCACCGAAAGGCTTCCGTATAGGCACGATTGCCGATCACGCAGCAAGCCTCTTGCACCATCTCCCGTGCCAAGCCGAAGTCCGCAATCGCCGCTCGCTTGTCTTCGAAAACGAGAATGTTACTCGGTTTCACATCGAGATGCAAAAACGAACGTCCGTGCACGTACGAGAGGCCGACGAGGAACTGCTGAAACAGCGGGACCAGCGATTTGCGGCGGGCCAGCCAGCCGTCTCGGCCCTCTTTCAGCCTGCACGCAGCGGCATGCAGGCTTTCGGTTGCCGGCTCGAGCAACAAGGCGGGCCGACCGAGCGAGCTGGTGAGAACGGCGAAGGCGCGAACGACGTTCGGGTGCTGCCCGACGGACGTGAGCACGTCGAACTCCTCAGCGACGTCGACTCCACCAACAGCTGCCTGTCGCATGGGGTCTGGCAACGAACGGCCTTTGCCGACTTTGAGAACGAGAGGCTGCCCGAGGAAGCTTGTGCGAAAGACCAAGCCATACGCCCCTGAACCGACCTCCTCCAAAGGCCCAAGCGGCGACCCGAGAGTCCACGTCCACATGTCCAGGAGGACGTCGTGCCTGTTTACTGGTCTTCTGTCATCGTCCTCGTGAGGCATCCGGTCGTCCTCGGGCTCTTCGTCGGGCGAGGCCGCACGCCGGTGCCCCTTTGTGAAAGCAGCGGCCTTCTTGCGATTGTCCTCGTAGGCCCGGTGAGCTTGGTCGAAAAACCTTTTGCGAACGTCCTTGCTCTTTTTGTGGTTCCTAAGTGCAAGCAGGCGAAAAGGCTTGGGATTCCGCTTGGCTTCTTCCTAGCTGTCTCTCTACCCAATGTTTCTCCATAGAGTTCCAGGTTTGGGCGGGTCTGCAAAGCCTAGAGAGATAATTCCGGACGCAGAACTGCGAGATGGGAAGGTTGGAGGCCTCTAATTCTAAGCAGTGACCAAGACCAAGACGAGCCACCTGCAGAAGCCAAACCTTTCAGACCACTCTGCTTGGATGATTTGGGTATTAAGCGATTTCTGGCAATTGGTACGAGAAGCACGAATGGACTAACTTTCTAGTCATGCTAGTCTAATCAATAGAACTCATGGGTGCCGTCCCTATAGTTTAATTGAGCAGGAGCCCGAAGGTCTGACTATATCTGCTGTTGCGAGTTGGCAAAACAGTGACTATGACTTCCTCGAAAAACAAACTTAAATTAAAACCGCAACCCAAACTGAGAAACACGCTAATCTCTTGATTCATGCATTAAAAGCAGCCCCAACCTTCGAACCTCCTGGCCAAGCGAGAGAAATAGAAACAACCCTCTGATTCGTCTGATTTCCCTCTAGTCTCGAAGCTGAGGCTATAGACAATCCTAAACCTGAACTTAAGACCTTAAACTCGTAAAGCTGCTGCCGGATTCAAGCGAAGGCACCACTTCTTGCTCATGGCTGCTTTCTCTCGAAGCATCCGCTTACCTCGGATGCGGTAACGAGAGGCCTGAGCGACCGTAAGGCCTTCTCGAGCGACCCAGCCGCAAAACAAGGACCAAGCACTCGCTTGCCTCACGCCTCCTGTGTCGGCCAAGGTAGGCCGGCCCATGGCAGCTACTTGCCAGCCTGTCAACTACACTACCAAGAAGCCGAAGCTGCAGCCGGACCTTCAGAACTTCTGTGCTTGCAAGGCTCCTAACGTTTGCAAGCTGCAAAAACTGGAACCTGGCAAGCGGTGCTGCAACAAGAAAGCTTTGCAGAAAAACGAGTCAGAGAATCGAGCCTGCAGCATCCAAGGGAGGATCGCGAGCTTCCTGCCCTGCATGTGGACCTTAGCGACACAGAGGGGACGGGGTGTGGAGTCTTGTGGGGAAGGGCAAAGCCACACTGCCGGCTCGACACTACTGCACTGCAGTTCTAAGAAGTGGAGCTAGAGTCTGTGAGTTTCGCAGGGCTCGGACTTTTTTTCTCCTTGCATGTGTCTCACGCAGCACCAAGGGACTTGAGTGACCCAGACCGACCTTAAAGAGTCGAGAAGCCAGGTCGCCACGCTTGGCCTTCTGCACCTCCGGCCGGCGACAAGAGACCCACGCCAAGCAGGAGAAGCGCCGAGGACGAGACACTCAGCCGAGCTTCTGCAGGACGGCCTGTGCCTCCTCAGAGATCTCCAGGCCCTCGAAGGTTTCTGCCCACTTCCACGCCTGACGAATGACCTCGCAGCCCGCCCGCTTGCTTCCCACCGCCGTCCACGAAATGCTCCGAGAGGCCTGGGCCCAACGAGCACTGTACGACAGCTTCCAGCGACCGTTTGGGTCGTCCCTGTAGGCCCGCACACGGAATGGCACGGAGACCTGCACGGCCCGATCGACGTTCTCATCGCAGTCCGCATAGCACCGCTTGACAGCGGCCGCCCTCTCCTTCGCCGCCTTGGCCTCCCGCTTTTCCTTCTCCTTTCGAGCGGCCTGTGCGGCTTTGAAGGCCGGCTGCCGAGCAAAAGTCTTGGCCACGTGTTCGAACGTCCTGATGCCACGCTTCCGAACGTCTACGGCCGACTGCTGAGTGGCTCGCCTTTTCGCCAGCTGTTGCAATGCTTGGTCTTGATCGGCCGCTAACATGGTGTCACGAATGACCTCCTCGAGGTCGACGCCAGCTCCCTCGCCCCATGTGGCGGCCTCTTGCCTGTGAAGCAGGCGGCCGACCACTTCTTCCTTGGTCAGGGACGCATCGAGCGACAGCATGCAGGCGATCGCGAGGCGGTCGTCTTCCTCGTGGCCGGGCTCGTCTGCCTCGATCTTCCAGCCTTTCTTTGCTGCCAGTCTTCGCAGAGCCCATTCAGGCACCCCGGCAAAGCCGCTCTGTTCCTGATGCACGAGCAACGGTCGCTTGGCCGCCACTTTGAAGGCGATGCCGTGTGGGTGACGTTCGCCCAAGGATCTCGCACCTCAGCCGCAGAAAACAGCGCCGAAATTACGCAAGTGCCACCAAAAAAACAATGAATTACACCCTCCACAACCTTTCTGATTGACACAGCTGCCTAGCAACCTATAGTATATTTATGCTCTACCCAAGCAAGTTGTA